AGGCCTTTACCATTTCTTATTAACATCGTTTTAAACATTAAATAAGTAATGTCATTTAATTGTTTCATATTTCACTCTCAAGAGATTTTAAACTTGAAGTAGACGACCAAGGTAAGTTTCACGTTTAATCTACAAAGAAAGAAAAACAAATCTTTAAATGGAAATTAATTATAACTCTTTAGAAAACTAAACATCACCGTTACATAACAAGAAGTTAGAGTCCTGGAAGTCCGCTAAGTACATGTCGTCCTTATTATAAGAGAAGCCTCTGTGAAGACAAGTAACAAAATTTTTGTTATTTTTAAGTGGCCACTATTGGAACAAAATCGGTGTTTGGAAATTAATAAGTAAAAGAATACATTAAAATTGACTAATTTAGGCAAGGAATCTATGCAAAAGGAAGTATGTTACTGAGCATTGAATATTACAAGAGAAACTGTTTGTTGTCCCTAAAATAATTACAAAAATGTACGTAATTGATCACTACTGGTGTTTTTACCGTACGTAAAACGTTTCGAAAAAGCAATTTTATTTTGTGGAGGCAATTTGAAAGCAGAGTTTGGGGCAAGTTAATTTTGTGTCGACCAATCCCGATTAAAAAGTCCCAACGTTCCTCAGTACAGCAAAATACGCTTTAAAAATGTCGCAAGTCACATTTTCTCTGAACATTCTCCGTTTTCGAAAATTGCAAAAATTAGAAATAATTCGAAAATGTATGTGCTATTAAAGCACCACATTTAAACAATGTGGCATTTTGGACACGACAAAGCCCTTATTAACTCTTTGGAGAGAAAGGGAAAGCCCACTCTTTCCTCACTGATGCCAGCAAACTCAGAACTTTGTTTCCACGCAAATTGAGACGCTACCGGATGACACCAGACACTTCACGTTCTATTAATATAATTTAAATAAAGTAAAAGAAAGAACACAATACGCACCAAACTTTTATTTGAGTGTCACGTTTCATCCGTAATGTCACACGAAAGAAGAATGTTTCCTATAGATGAACTACTATTGATACCTTGTATTGAACATAAAAATGCACTGCCATACATTAAATCAAACGTCCTAAAAGTTAGCACAACCATTTCATCCAAACTAAAAAACAATAGAATTAATTGTCGTTTTTACCCTTTAAGGTGTGAAAACAAAATTTTTCGCGGATCAGTTTCTCAACAATAAAATCAGTATTCATGCTGATTTCCATTGAAAAATAAAGCTACACCTACAAATTCGCAAATATTGCTAGCATGCACACAAAAACAATCCGGAGAATTTGGCGTTTTTTGTTTCTAGATGGTTAGTGAAGAAATCAAATCGATAGCTCCATTGTTTCAAAAAAGATTAACAAATAATCATTAAATAATTGCTTAAGGCATTATAAGAACGCAAAGAACATTACTTTCACGCGATTGGAAATTTTGGTATTAACATAAAAATATGTTCAGAATTTGCCGCTTTTCATATAGAAACGATTGGAGAAAACAGAGTAATATCTCAACTTCTTGAAAATGTATTTTAAAAATTATAAAAAATGGGAAAGTGAGCTTCGTAAATTCACCTAAAATGTCAATCAAAAATCGCAAGAATTAAATTATTAACATCAGACGATCATAAAATAAGCTCATCTTGTTTATAAACAATTATTAAAATACGTTACGTCAATCTCTCTATTAAACATTTATAACAAATAACATTGATGTAAAAATGACATATCAAAAATTAGAAAAAACACGCCCCTCAAAAATTAATGACCACAAAACCGGACCTAATGCAACCATAATATCAAGTAGTAATACATAATCTTTCATAATTTAAAAAAAATCATATTCCATTAAACAAAAGTTTCCCATACTCTATTAGGTCTGGGAATTCAACCAAAACCATATCGTGCGAGCACTGTCGAAAACTGGTGGTGCTACAGAATGGCACAGGTTTTCCCGTACTCGTTTTCTATTTCCTTTGGTCTTGACTAGTTATTCGGACTTGCCCCATCCTCTTTCCAGCTACCATCCAGCGCCGCCCAAATCACATTGTTTAAAATGTTCTTAATTTTTCGACTTCCTAATAGTACTCGTAGATCGGAAATATTTTAAGAATATTATAGAACAGTAAACTCTAGTTCAAAATTGAAATTTGAAAAATTTGGAGCTTTTTTTTAAAATGGCGCTCAAGCGCCACTCTAATTTCGAAATTTGAATTTTTTCACAGAAAATGTTTGAGCTTTCGAACAGTTTCCTTTGACGTACTTTCATTCACAAATACAAGTGTTTACAAATTGCTGGAAATGAGACTATTAACGGCGTGAGAGATTTTTCAAAAAATGACATTTGTGTAATTATTTAAAAACCAAAAAGATACCCCGGAATGAACTTAGCACTATCCATTCGAAAAGTGTGAAGAAAAAATTTGGTGCTGTTTTGGAGAAAATGCGTTTGTGCGTTTCTGAAATTGTGGAATTTTCATCTACTTTTCACAGAAAACGTTTGTTTTCGACTAGCTTTATCAGAGATTATTTAAAGCACATGCACTCATAAATACAATAATGTGAACAAATTGCCGCTAGTACAAATATTAACGACGTGAGTGACATGTCAAAAAAATTCCTTTTTTGTAATTATTGAAAAAACAATAGAATGGAGAAAATGTCGTTTGTCACATTAGAGAGTATATTAGGCACTCTCTCTACCAACAGTTTAAAGAAAAAAATTGTAGCTGTTTTTGAGAAAATCATGTTTTTTGTATTGTGTTCAAATTGCACGTATTGCTCGCAATATAGCGCGAAAACGACTAAAATTTTCAGAAAAATGTACATGACAATGAAATAAATTTTATTTGAAGGAAAAATCTTTATCTACAATTTTGTAGTTGTAGGAAGATGCCCTAATACTTTTGAAATTTTCAAAAACGCCGATTTAACCATGAAATTTGGACCTATGCCACCTTCATAAATGTAAGTTACTCTATTCTTACAAGAAATGTAAGAAAAAATGCAGCTTTTTGTGAGGAAATTTTGAAAACTTCCGTAAGGCTTCATGTAAAGTAGCCCCAAATTTAAAGTTTTTTTAAATTTTTTTTTTTTTAAATCTCAAAGCTACGAGTCGACCCAATTCTTTAATTTGGAAAAAATCTACGTATGGTTTAGGCGCTAGTGGTGTTCACAGACGGACGGACAGGCACAGTTTTGAAAAAAATACTTTTTCAGTATCAGGGGACCCTAAAACCTGTATTTCCATAGAAATATCGAAATCGAGTTTCCGCAGCAATACATACATTTCCCTATACTACGTATAATATTTTATTAGTTATATAAACGTATATATAACGTATTATATTTAGTTTATCTCTCTCTCTCTTTCTCTCTCACTCTCTCGCACTCTCTCGCTCTTCCGCAATCTCTCTCACTCTCTCTCTCACTCTCTCTCTCTCACTCTCTCTCTCTCACTCTCTTTAAAGAAACCTTCCGTTTTAAGTATATAAAAATACTTTCAATGTAACACAAATTCACTGTAAAACTGCTTATATTTCGAAAAATGTATCTAAAAAGATATAATTTGGAAAATATATTTCATTAAACTATAGGTTTAGTGTTAAGGGTTTAGAACATGTTCGAAATGATTTGAAATTTTCGATATTCCGAGGTTTTAATTCGAATTTACAAGGGGAAACATTGTCTACCAAACAAACATTTCTTCGTAGTAAGTAATATTTAAGTATCTCAAAGAAAGATGGCCTTCTTTTCGATTCTAAGATTGCTATGACAGTACTTTTCGAATCTGTTTTAAACCTGACAGAGGTGCTCCTGACTCAGTCAATGATCTGCGAACTAGGATACCAGATACCCAAGCCCTTCCTACACGTTATGACATGTATATTGTCGCTTACGTGCATTTCACTATATAGTGGTTCTTCTCTGAGTAACAGTGTTTGTGTAGTATATGTTTATTTCTAACATCCTTTATTTTTATCTATTATTTTAATAGTTGTATATATTAATCGGTTCATTTATTAATAGGTGTACAATGTATGAAATACATTGTACTACACTCGCTATTGTTTAGTGTTTTTAACTAAATTACTTTAGAGAATAAACCATGGACAGGAAGCTGGTCTGTTGCATTAATGAATAGGGATCATCTTTCTTATCATTCGTATCATACTGTAACGAATATTGCATCATCTGCCGGCCCCCCACTTCCCCCCGAACTGGCCGGTTCCGGGCTATTTGCGAGTCGCGTAGAAATGTGGAGCAAGTGCCTGTTGTGTCGAGACGTGCGCGGCCAGGTATAAATTCGCCGCTGCCGGCGGCCGTCAGAAGTAGTCAAGTAAGAAGTAGAAGTAGTAAACAGTCCGTCAGTGTGAGTATGCAGTAGTCTGTCTGAAGTGGAAGCTGAGCTGTGAAGTGTGCATCGCGGTAAACAGCAGTACAGTTGACCCTGGTCGGCGCAGTGAATTGTGGTCAGCGCCGTGAAGTGTGGTTAGCGCAAAAGACCGTCGGACTGTTCGATAGTGTAGAAAAAGTGAACAGTGTAAATAAATAATCAAGAGAATGGAGTCGTGTGTAAGGAAAATAATCAAGTGTAGAACACAAAAACCGTGTAATATATCTGTATTAAGTATTTTTTGTGTAGCATTGTTTACAAATAAACGTTTTTGTTAAATATTACCTAAGTGTGTTTTAATTCACTGCGGAGAAACGTTACAATACTATATCATTTGTATTATATTTATCTTTTTATAGACTTTCCCTTATTTAAAATTATTATTCGAACGAAAAAAAAATTGAAATATTTGTACAATTTTCCATTATTAGTGAGAATTCATCAATGCTGAAAAATCTGCGCGCAGATCCCCTAAGTTACTCCTAAGGAGATAAAATTTATGTTTGGAAATCACCACTCCTGAAAATCTTTGTCCATGATGTGGCTATCTACGCATTTGATTTTGTCACGATTCGCCACTATTGTAGTTCATTTTTCTCTATTTTTACTTTGTTTCAGATTCAGATGATGAAGTAAAAGCAACTCTCATGGGGGTGGTGGATCGTAATGTTGACTGTAAGAATCTGACCCTCATCAGCAATGTATTTCAAATTGGAAACTTCACCACGTGTCCAAGCAAAAATATGAATCACAGTTCTGGCGAAAGCGAGCAGGTTAGATCATTAAAACTCGATTCCCTTTTGTAACTGACTCTTAACAGAAGACTGTTAAAATATAGCTTCTGTATTGTATGTTGAATATTTTCCAAATTTTTATTCTGTCTTCGAACTATTCATATTACATTAAAAAAGGTTTCAGAAAAAAACATTCGAAACTGTCATTTAAAGAAATTTTTCCTTCAAAAGTGTATTAAAATGGAGTATTCCACTCGTGAAATTAAAACCAATAGTGTTTAACTATACATGTAAAATGCCCAAAAGGGGCGGTGAATCTCAAAAACTTTATCGCTTTTTCTATCCGATTTTTCTTATTGCTTCTACCTACAGGCCAATCATAAACTGCGACTCTTTGTCCAATAAACAGCGTATGCACCTCTGATTTTAACATACGCTTTCAATTATTTTCTATATTTGGCGCATTTTGGAACTCTATTGGTCATAATTTCACTCGTAGAATATCTCTTTGAAATATCACTCGTGCTTTGGAAATTCACATATAAATCCCCTCCCCCCTTCGCAAGTCAGGAATTTATCAACAATTGCCAGAGCATTCGTGGTATTACCTATGATAAACCGAGCCTAATATATTCGTTACTGGGTATGACGGATTAGGGCATGAAGCTACAAAGAGATTAATAATAGGTTGATTTATTGCATTGTTTATTCAACAAATTCCATGTCATTACACACTTTTTCTATGTAATGAATCACTCCCGAAACAGTTTTTAAAATAAAATATTACTATTTATTATAATTATGCTACTAATTATATAGGTATATTACTAATTATATAGTTTTATATCGTTAAAACGGCAATATATTTTAAAACACTCTTCCGTTGCAATTATGCGCTGGGATATACGAAAATAAATAAAAATTTTTGAAACAGGTTTATTTTTACTACTTACATCGTGTACTATCTTGATACAAGCGAATTATTTAGAGATGTTAAAAATCGCGTTAATTCCGAAGTGTTGTCTTCATGAAATTTTATACATTATTCGCGGTTTTGTAAAAAAAGCAATTATATTTAACATTGTTTGGTCAGCCAAGAAATTATTTCATCCCCTCTCTTTCGCTTCTAATATTATTTATTAATAGATTTTTCTCTCTCTCTCCCTCGCGACTCTCTCCCTCTCTCTCGCTCTCTCTCTCGCTCTCTCCCTCTCTCTCGCTCTCTCTCCCTCTCTCTCGCTCTCTCTCCCTCTCTCTCGCTCTCTCTCGCACTCTCTCGCCCTCGCTCTCACTCTCTCTTTCGCTCTCGTTCTCTTGCTCCAATGCAGTATTATACAGTATTGCTTAGGCAATGACAAAATTGGACACGATGGATTGGCCGAACTTAATATGTGGTGAATGATCCATACTCTCCAACAAGTCCGATTGAACTTAAAAAATACTGCTACACAATACAGTCATGTTCTTACCTCAATTAATTGCCTACCTCCCTTCCACCACAATCTAATAAGAAATTGAGAATGTAACGAGATGGTAATAATGTTGGGTAAATTTCCTTAACTCTGCTGTTAAGCATTTGTTGCAACAACTCTGGTGGAGAGAGTCTGCCAAGTTCTTCAATTTTTAGGTTTTCTTTCGCATTGAGATTTGCAGAATGATTGCTTAACAAGAACTGTACACTCAGGGGCGGATCCAGAGAAGAAGAATTTGGGGAGGGGGGATTTTATGTCTTTGTGTGTGTGTGTGTGTGTATATATATATATATATATATATATATATATATATATATATATATATACATAATATAAATTATAAATAAGATAAATTATTTATTATAAAATGCTTATAACAAAATTAAGATATTAAGTTAATTAAGAAATCAAAATATTAAGTTCAATATTTATGAATATTTTATAGTTTTCAATTAAAAATAGTAATAACTTGCTATTAAAACCGTTCAAATCACAGCTGCTAAACGGCGAAGGATTAGGGTATTATATTTTTCATTCTATTATGCTTTCTTAAGTATTTTCACAAAATATGTTTCAAGCCTCTTCTACTTTCTCTTTTCTTCCTATTATTTTTAGATATTTTTTTTATTCTTAAGTGCTTATTAACCGCACCGTCTCCAGGTAAAATATTAAAGATGGAGATTTTTCCCTCAATGAAATATATACCTTCAAGATAGATTTTAAAATAAAGTCATGAACAATTTTTAGAAAATGTTTGTACTTTTCGTGTAATTTTGAGTGAAAATACGGGCGAGAAAGTGCGTGCTGTTTTAGCACTCCTAGTTATTGGAAGGTTTCATGAAGAGTTTAACAGTAACTGAAAAATTTGGAGAAGGGAAAATTTCCCTCATCCTCCCCCTCCCTGTGGTTCCGCCCCTGATACACTGTACACTTCATATTGGTGCTGATAATATGCACGACACTACTGCACAACCCGATCACAACAACACATTTTAAGTTGTTTGCCAAGATGCACGTAACAATGGAAGTATCTCGGAAGAGAATGGCGAGCGGGGTAAAGTGAGGCCGAACAACAGCGATTTCAGGGTGCAAAACCTTTCAAGAGAAAATTGATCTGTCTATCTTTAAGATAAAGAAACCATATTTCCATAAAATACATAGTTATTATTTAATTGGTTCATTCTTCATAAATTCAATCGCAATTTACGTTTTCGTTTAGTGTATGGCAATACAAATTCATGGAAACTTAGACGCCGCCTTGGAAGTTCGCAACACGGCAGCAATTTGATTCGCGTTGCTTCAGTTTTCAAACTGTATTTTGTGCTCATTATTATTGTACGGTACGCGACCCGCAAAGTGCTAAGTTTCCCGCTTGAAGTTATTTCCATGCATGAGAGTTGAAAATCAGTTTCACCCTTCAAATACTGTTACAATAATATTTTAGTAATGGTTATGAATATATGACTAATACTTTTGTCTGCAGGTAACCCAGTCAACTACATCAATTAATGAAACCTATCTTCACAGCAATTCATCAGAAGATGACGTTCTCACAATTCTCATCTCCTTTGTACAAAGAGAAAATAATGCAAGTGAGCAAATATTTGCATTTAAAGGAGCTTTAAATGATAATTTAGATTTTTTTATTGTGAACAGTGGCAAATCTCACTGTGAAAAATGTAAGAGCCTTAATATTTCATCAACCAACAGAAAACCTCACGGCAAAGTGGGACATTCTTCCTTGCTCACTCCATCGCTGAGATTAGTTATTTCAATTTTAGTGGCTTTTGGTCTTTTTTCAGGATTTCTTCTGTATGCTATGAAAGGATTATTTGATTCTTGCTCTTTCCTTTTTATATAATCGGTTGAAACGATCGGGAAATGAATACAGCATCTTAAATATTCATTTTAAGGCTCTCATAGACGGGCGCGTAAGATCTGCCGCGGGTGCGGCGCGTAAAGTTTTCCGCTAGACGCGGCGACGAAATCCGCGGGTCTGTTCACGCCGCAGCGTCAATTATACATCGTTTTGTGAACCTTTTTCTCATCCGATAAAAAAGCAAGGGAAGCTCTACTCAGAGGTGGGCGAAAAATTCCGAAGGCAGGCGGACTTACACGAAATTCGGCGGCAGCGGAAAAAACGCGTCCGATTGCGTTACAAAATCCGCATCAGATTAAACGCTGTCACACCGCTGCTGCAACGCTCGGCTGCCGCGCAGGTCTGAACGTGCTCATAAGGCAACCCGTGACGCGGATCTTCCCGCGCCTATCTATGGGAGCCTTAAAGACCTGTGGTTGCCTTATGAGCACCTATGCGGCAGGCGAGCGTCGCAGCAGCGGATTGGCAGCGTTTAATCTGCTGCGGATTTTGTAATGCAGTCGGACGCGTTTTTAGCGTTGCCGCTCGAATTTTGTGGAAGTCCGCTCGCCTTCGGGAGTCTTCGCTCCCCTCTGGGTCGAGTTCCCTAGCCTGATAGCTTCGTGCAGAACTCTGTCGCTCGAGTTTCGCTTTGGAAACCAAAACAAAGAATTGTTGGATGTCGAATATTTCCAGCTTGCCATTGAATCTGACACGACTGAACGGTCAGATAAAATACTTCTTAAAGTGTTCCCTAATATAATTATTTTTAAATACATTAAACTTCGAATTTTTAAAATTTTCAAAAAAAATGTTTCACATTTTAGTAGTGTCAGTAATGTCACTAACAGCCACTGGTCATTCTAGTAAATATAAAAGCGTTTCCCGTACTTTGTGGCATCAAGATTTGAAATTCTCGATACTTTTTTTCCTTTCATCATGGACCCTTTTTTTCGTTTACTAAAGAGATATTAACAATTTGACGGAATATCGTAGATAAAGAAGGTAAACGCACCGCAGTGCATGTGCTCACAAAATGTACTACGACTACTGGCATTTTCTATCTCGTGTATGAATAGAAGTGAGCGCGTTTGTTAATGGGATGAGGAAAACTGTCACCAAACGCTGTCATAATTGACGCTCCGGCGTGAACGGTCCCGCAGATTTCGTCGCCACGTCTCGCGCGGAACTTTTCGCGTCGCATCCGCTGCGGATCTTCCGCGTCGGTCTATGGGGTTTTTTTTGCATTGAATTCCATTAGAAAATCGTAAACAAATAAAATGTAATGGCCAATCAATATTAGAATGTATCAATTAAAAACAAAACTACTATGCTCATGGCATATCTACAATATCAAACAGATTTCAGGTTGTCGATTTTAATAATGTACAAATTCAACTTACCCAAATAAACATAATAACTTTTTTTCATTATTGGTGTTTTTATTGTAGTTTCAAGACCAGGAAGTAGAATGATAAATATAGATCACGGGGTATGATCGGACTGAAATAAGACATTAGAACAGTTTGCCGGCGATGTCATTAATTGTAGCAACCGGCGATGCTAGTAATGGACATTTTTACTTTCCCGTTTATACACGTATGTACGGGATAGTATAGGAAAAGTTATGTAATACTCGATATTACGAGATTTCAACAGAAATACCTGATACCGAAAAAGTATTTTTTTCAAAATATCCGTCTGTCTATCTGTGAACACTACTAGCGCAACTACACTGCTAGCAAACCATACGTAATATTTTTTCCAAATTGAAGAAAGGAGGTGGCAAGTCCGAGTAGCTAGGCGAGACCAAAGGATATAGAAATATAATACGGGAAAATCTGTGCCATTCTTTATCACTACTAGTTTATATATAGTGTTTTTTTGTTGTTTTTTTTACCACCAGCCCTGAGGATGGAATAAAAAATATTACAAAACATCGGCAAACATGTTTTAATGTGTTAATTAACTTCGACCAAATCCATCGATCTACATTTCCCAGTAATTTTTCAGTTAAAACCCATATCATCAGAGCCAAGTGCATTCAGAATTGCGTTCTAATATTTACGGTACCGGTGCCAAATGTGTATAGTTTTTATTTATTAACTAAGAGTGATAAGAGAGTTATTGGTATGTAAGTTATAGCTAAATTCCTGACATCTATAACGGTAACCAACCTAGTTGTAGAAAATTGACTTTTCTTTCACATTTTCTTATTTATTTGTCCAGGACATGAGCTGTTATCCCTAAGCATAATTTGTAGTTTTAAAGGGTATTTCATTGACACGTTTCTTATAAAAAGAAACCAAATCACTTATATCCAATTTATTTCTTCAATAGTGTGTTGTTCTGCCATCTGTTGTAAAGACTTTATGCATTAAAATGGTAATAAAGAATAATGAAGTGGTGTTTTATTTTTATTCTAAAAATGCTGCCATGCCATTCTTCCTCATATTTTCTACTAGAATGCTAGTTGGAACCAGTGGCGGCTCGTGCCGGTTGTAGCATGTTTGCGCTACAACCAAAAAATGTCGCGTGAGAGCGTAGGCTTCCGCGGCCGGAGTCAGTATTTACTTGGCTGTCCGGGTGCCGTCCGCGTCCATGGGAGGAAGGTCGCAGAATGGCGAGCGAAAAGTCGGCACCTTCGCCATGGACGCGGCGTCACCTGGACAGCCAAGTAAATAAAAATGTCTCTTTTATATATAGGAATTAGAGTGTTTCAAAATGAATAACGTGGCTTTAGCGCTTTATAGTTCTTATTACATTAAACTTACAGCTGTAAATAATGCATCAAACGAAAGACCAACTCAAACAGTTTTACATAAAAGCCTACAAGTGTTCAATGTGAGCACCCTTCGTCACACAACACACGTCAAAACGATATGCGAGTTCTTCCCAACGTTGATCAGTATCTCTCAAGTAATTGTTGCAACAGCTTCTTCAATCCTGTTTCTTAATCCGCGAAGGCCAGCCGGTAGTGGAGGCACATACACACGATCCTTTATGAACCCCCAAGAGTAGAAATCAGAAGCAATTCTAGCGCTAGACACCAAGGTTCTGCTACTTGGTGATTTCAATGCAAGACACCGGTCATG